CCCAAGGTTAAGAACCAGTGCTCTAGATGATACAGGACTCTTGTTTTAGCTGCACAACCACAGATCAATGTGGCTGTAACATAAAATGAAACAAATGCTCAGATAGCTTTTCTGTTGGGAGAACCGATGGTAGCAATGTAGTTCATGCCTTCAGCTCCATTTATGGGTTATGCTGCTGCTGCTGCTGTGGCACTTCGTAACCCAAGGTTAAGAACCAGTGCTCTAGATGATACAGGACTCTTGTTTTAGCTGCACAACCACAGATCAATGTGGCTGTAACATAAAATGAAACAAATGCTCAGATAGCTTTTCTGTTGGGAGAACCGATGGTAGCAATGTAGTTCATGCCTTCAGCTCCATTTATGGGTTATGCTGCTGCTGCTGCTGTGGCACTTTGGCACTTTCTCCATTTATGGGTTATGCTGCTGCTGCTGTGGCACTGTGGCACTTTGCTTTTAGTGCCATTGAGGTCAACCAGAGGACAGTTCAAATGCTCCAAGCAAGAGCAGGTGCAGGACCCATTAACTCGCAACAAATCCATAGCTATTCAGTCCTGAAAATTATTGCCACTTCTTTATGACTGGTTTTGTGGGACCTAACATGTTATTTTTGAAGTGCTGACCAGGGTGCAAAGGGGCTTTATTTACTATTTATTTATGTATTTGTTTTTTTATCCTGCCTTTCTCCTCCAGGTGGAGTACAAAAATTTAAATTCAACATTTAATTAAAGGAAACTAAAATTTAAACCTTTTAAAGCGTGCTGTACAAATATTTTACTGTACAAATATTTAAAAACATTATTTAAAAAGCATAAATCAGGCCAACCACACCTTCCAAAGAAAGGAGTCTCATCTCATCTCACCATGTCACCAAACTGCAGGCCACTTTAGCATGCACATGGGGGGAGCAGCATCCGTGCGTGGATGGGCAGGGCACCCCTGCATGAGTGAGTGGGCGGGGCACCCGTGCATGCATGTGAGGGGCATGCATCCATCCATGCATGCGTGAGCAGGGTATGTGTGCGTCCGTGTGTATATGTGGGGGGCGTACGTGTGTGCATGTGGGGGGGCGTGCGGGAGGGATATCTGTCTCCATGGCCTGATCCTGCCAAGGTCATGGCCTGGTACTGGGCCGCAAACCAGTGACTGGGGGCCCCTGATCTACAAACTAGGAGAATCAAATGTAGTTTTTGTTTGTTTGCTTGCTTGCTTTACTTTCCGAGGAATGTCTTGTTTTTCAGAATAGTACTTTTGAGAAATCAAATAAATAAATAAATAATAAATGTCTTGTTTTTCAGAATAGTACTTTTATAGCCTACACACGTAACACAGCCAGAAGCTGGAAGGGAAACTGTCGCTCTGAGGAACATACAGTGAGTAAGAGCACTTAGCTCTATATCATCCATATTGATTAACGTGGCTTTTCTGTGTTTCAGGCAACTGTCTTTTCTCATCCTCACTGGAGATATCATGGAATGAATCAGGGACTCTTCTCATGTGCTTTGCCATCGAAGTAGAATCTGTCTCCTTTACCCTAAGTTGCTAACTTTCCCTACCATCCAAGTACCACCATCCCAGGACCTGACAGTTTAAAAAATATATCCTTCACACATCCATTTCGGTATACCAAAGAACCAATGTGGCACAGCAGTGACATGGTCAGACATTACAAGCTCTCCCTAGCGATGTCTGACATATTATCCTTTCATGAAATTTCCCTCCAGCCCTAACGTAATGTTTCCTCAAGTATTTCTGAAAGAAAGGCATGACAGGGTAGCACACATCCTAGTCTGTGTGAAGAAATAAGGACAAAACTATAGTTTTGCAGTGGAGTTTGAGACACGCTGCATCTCTGTAGGCTGGCAAACATTTTTAGTGGTCCCAGTACAGACTTGGAATGCACCCTCCAGAATGATATTGCCATTTCTCATCCCATGCATGTCCCTAGGCATCATCTTCAGTACCTTCTCATTGTGTTTTTAATTCTACTAACGGAATTTCAAAAGCCAGTGTAGCTGAAAGCTCAGGATATATGATTTCAAATCTCTACCTCACTGAGAGGTAGTATACCTTGAAACCCTATTAGCGTTGCCATGAGTCAGATGACCTGGTGGATTTCAGCCTGGATAAGGCCCCTCTGGACCCCTAGAATCCAATAAAATGTGCCCTTCTCCCACATGGGTGTCTTCTTTCCCTATACTGTATACATATAGTATAATTCTCTGCTCTAACTGGACATCAACCCAGACCCTTTGGCTAAGGTATTATGGTGTTCTTTTTCATTTACTTGGTTTCCAAAAGAGAAGACACTGCCTGAAGAGGCATCATTAACCAATGTATCACTTTTGGCTGTGGAATAAGTAGGAGCCATCTTTCTTTCTACTGCATGCTTGTTTTAATTGAGTTAAAAGGGTGGGTACTTTCCTGCTCACCTCCATGACTAAGAAGAAATACAGTCTGGAATGGTATGTCTCAGACAATTTTTTTCTGGTTTAGCAACACCATATATATCCATATGCCCCACCACATCTATCTTCACCCTATAAAAAGACAACTAAAAAGAATTCACTAATGAGGTATATGAATAAGACGGTAAGTGTACTCTTCTATATTAAACAAAGCAAAGAAATGCAAATAATGTAGGAGAGGGAATTAATTCAAAGCCCATTAGAATCAATGTAACTGTTATAAAATACCTCAGAGCCTGTTGGAATCAGCCTTTAAGAAGCTGATGTTTGTTTAATACTGTGTTTCTGCTATGCACTGCATGCATTTCTATGTGATTCAGCGCAAAGCACTGGACTGTAGGCTTATTAGCAAACTTCTAGACTTACTGCCAGAATACCCCTCAGGACCTATGCAAGACAAGGATAATCCAGTCTTTTTCATCAGAGAAACGAAAGCTAAACTCATCTCAAGCTGATATTTTAATTCTGTGTTGCTTCTCTAAGGACTTTCTATTATGCATGGATTGTGTTTGCTTCCAGCAACAATGCTTCCTTTATTCAAAACTTTTAATAGTAAAAAAAAGTTTTATTTTAATTTTAATCCAAGAGCTCTTGAGATCTGCAATATCACAACATTTCCAAGTCATTACAAAAACAAAGGGTTAACAATGTTCACAATTATTTGTTAATATGTAAAACAGTCACTGCCAGATTTTGCCATGAATATTGTTCATCTTTTATCTAAATGTTTCTTTTAGATTAAAAAAAAGTTACTTACTCTGCCTATGTGGACTATTTGGGCTTTTACCAATATCATATCAGTAGCAACCTGAGTAGCTGCTATAAGTTGAATTCTGATCCTATTATGTACAAAATAAGCTCCTAATAAGAGAAATCTTACAACAGAGCCACCTTCTGGTGCTGAGTGGCTACTACGCCACTTTATTTTATGCAATATTTTATGACAGAAAATAGTGCAAACATATATAGGAGTTTGTGGAGACAAATAAAGATACAAGCATATAATAAATCAAATACAACAGTTTTAAATTATGAATAAAAGAACACTGAGAGGTGTGTTTTTAACTGTTACTCCTAAAAATCTGCAACACTGATTATATTTTAAGTCATAGCCCAAAAAGTAACACTCCCAATTTACAAATGAAGAGAAAATCTCCAACTAATTTTCAAATGCCTGACACACAATGATGCAGTTTTCATAAGTCAAACAGTGGCTTGAGGAAAAAAATAAATCCATAATTGTGAGATATTCACACTATGAAGAAAATGGTGCTCTCAGCTCCAGTTGTTGGGATGGGTGGCAGCGGGGCACCCTTTAAAGCTTGAAGAAGTTGCTTTTCTGGCTTATAATTCCTTGAATCCCTCAGTCAGAATGGCCAGGGGTGATACTGTCTCAAGAATTTGGGAGTTCTAATCCCAAATAATCGTAATAATCTTACCTCTATCCTGAAGGATTTTGAGCAGGATTTCTAGCATATTGGAACTAGGCTTTTCTATTTCAGATAGTAAAGGGATTCCCTGAGCAGTAGGGGAACAGTGATTTGAATAATATCTCACAATTGCTGGGATGGCACGAAGTGCCCCCCTTCCAGTGACCTCAGTATGTATGAACAAGTGTTTGAACCCATCTGTGCAGTTCTGAAATTACCCCTTAGTCAAACATGCAGCCCTAGGAACAGAGGCATTTGCTCACCTTAAGTTAGAGAGTTAACTCCAATTTATTTTAATGCATTTACTCTAATTCTTAATTCAACCAATTATTGACACTGTCATTCATGACGATGAATAGTAGTCTGACTTCATAGACAGCAGTAGCAGTAGTGGGTAGCTTAGGGAATGGCAACGTAGCGTGGAGGTTAAACATAACATAGACTGGAGCTCTGCAAAAATGAACTCCTGAAGTTGATTATTAGATATAAGTCATCAATACTAGTCTGGTACAGAAATGGCCCATGGGCGAAAACATCCTCACACACAATAGATCTCATAGTCTCTACAAAGTTCCAGTCAAGGCATGGCAATGGTAATACTGTATGAATAAAGGAAAAGAAGGAAGAGGAAAAGTTGTCTTTAAATGATAAGATATATGAATATTTGTACATTTAATGAAACATTACTTCGACTTTGTATGGGAGCATAATGCTAATGTATATATTAGTATATTACATTACACTAGTGGATATATGAATCTAAATCTCAACTAGAGGGGACTAGAGATGGGCAAAAATATAAAAACGAACCCGGAAATTCATCAAAAATCACTGATTTGTTGCTTCGGGTTGGTTCAGGTTCATCCAAACCGGAGAACTTTCTGACCAATGAATTTTTCACGATTTAAAAAAAATTCCTGGTTCATTTTCCCCAAGTCTGCCCCCCCTTCCCACTGCCCCCCCGTTGCCTCCCTACATTGTCCTGCTACCTCCTCCACTGCCATCCAGAGAGACGGCGCTTGGTTCCCTTCCAGGAGCTGGGCGTGCTATCTCTGTATCTGCACAGGTGCCCACCTCTCAGCTGAGAACCAGCTGGCTTTGTTAGCCAGTTTGTCAGCCCACCTGGGGGCCTTTGTGCAGGTCCTTGCCTCCCATCAGACAGATGGGGACATCTGCAGAGACTGCAATATAGCCTCTGCACAGCTTCTTGCCCCTCAGCTGAGAGGCAGGGACCTTCCTATAGCCCCCCCTGGTGGACTGATAGGCCTTCTGCTAAAATAAAAATTAATATACAGTATATTTTTTTCTTAGCAGCCAGCCTTTCAGTCCACCAGGGGGCCTCTGCACAGGTCCCCATCTCGTCTGAGAAGCAGGGACCTATGCAGAGGCCCCCTACTGGGCTGACAAGATGACTAACAAAAATATGTATTATTGTTATTATTATTGTAAGTTAGCCAGCCTGTCAGTCAGCCTGGTGGCTTCTGCAGCTGAGAGGCAGGGACCTATACAGATGCACCTTGGTAAGCTAACAAGATGGCTAACCAAAAGTTTCTTTTTTCTTTCATCAGCTGGGCTGTTAGCCAGCCAGGTGGCCTCTGCGCATGTCTCTGCCTATCAGCGTGCAGAAGCCGCTGGCTTGTGGGAGCCAGAGTCTTCTCAAGATGGCAGTGACGATGGCAGAAGGAGGAAAAGGTAGAGAGGCAACGAGGTAGTGGGAAGGGGGGGCAGGCTGTGGTGGTGGGGAGGCCAGCCAGTTTTTCGTTTTGTTTTCAAGACGGCTCCTGGGCTGTCTAAAAAGAAAAAATCCTGAACAAATCAGCAACTTGATTCATGGTTCATTTACAATAATTCCAACATTTGTGGTTCATGGACGTCCATGTGTGTCTCCAGAAGAGACACATTAAATCCATGGGTCTTTGTTGAATCAACACAAATGTCAGTTGCACTGGTTGAATAAATGTGCTCTAGTTTGATCTAACACTTTCATTTAGCCCATGTTCTACAATTCTACAACCAGTATGCTGGTGCCAGCTGTCTTGCCCATCCTGCCTTTGGATATGCAGTACAATTATTCCCAGGCTGCTGTTGGAAGATGAGGATGTCCCCTTAAAAATCAAGACTAATCTAGTAAAAACAGGAGAATAACTATGAGAAAAGGATTAAATACAAAACTCACTTTTGTTAGTTGTGTGATTTATGGACAGTCTAAGGCAAAAAGGCTTCCTGTTAAGATTGACATACACTGTTAATTCCTTCTTCATCATGCTCAGGCTGAGTATCTGTAATGTGTGTTATGTTTGGTTTTAGTACGTCAAGTGCCTGCAGGGAGTAAATTGCCCAGAGTAATGGTATTCAGGGACACTGTGTTCCTAGCATTAACGTGAGATTAAGCAGTCCAAATTAGAATATGGGTCACCATCAATGAGTCCTGGCAATCTTTTGTAGAAGCTCTGCAGTGAAAGAACATTTCACTATGTTGGAACACTTCAGATCCATTATAGATTTTCCAGTTCATTGCAGGATGTGTAAGTTCCATCAAATCCTTGCATAGAGGTGTACTTTACTGGAGGCGGTGGTGGCTTGAAAGATGGTGGCCTGTTCATACTAAAATAGAAACACTGTTTTTAAAAAACAAGCAGCCAGAAAACCCCTCCACGCATATGAAAAAGGATCTAGAAAGACACGCACAATTAAAAAGCAAGCTGTTCTGAAAAGATCATTCTGTATTTAGATACGGATGGACTAAAATTCGGCTCTACTTCTACGACTACAGTACTTGTTTTTACTTATATTTCAAACCAAATGATCAAAACAGTGAATACAATAAGGGCCTTTGTGGCTTTAGCACCCTGGTGTAATGTCTTCCCCTTGGAATCTCTAGTACTGCTGATGCTACCTTTATTTTAGCACCCCATTAACATCTGGCAGTAGTCCTAACATTTGGTGCCTTCGTGTCTTAGTTTTTAATTTGCTAATCAGTTTTTAAACTGTTTTTAAAAAATCTGGATGGTTTTACACCACTTTCGGGAGATTTTATTGATGGTATCTCTGAGGTCTACTGAGATAAGGAAGTTTAAAATAGATAAATAAATAATCCAGTACTAAATATAAGCATAAAATACAACAATAAACTCAGGACCATACGTAGACCTGTCTGAGGTCAGCCAGAAGAGAGTTCTGTAAGAGACACATCCAGCCAGTTCCATGGGAACTGGGTGCATCTTTCTTATTCAGTTGGAGCGACAGCACATTTCCAATTTCTAACCAAATTTTCCAAAAGTCTATTTTATGTGCATTATACCTGACAAGATCTGGAGCTGTTTACAGGCTGCACCACACTTCAGTGTGCATGCATGTGCACATGGAACACTGAAGGTACCAACGGAGATGCTGGCATAGAAACATTTTGTTTGCCCTGTTTAATAAGGTCCAAATTTACTAAGGATGTTTAGGAAAATGAGTCTAGTGTTAATCCAGCATGACTAATATTGTCTTCCATTGTTCAGTGGTATGTAATCCACTACGCTACACAGATTGGTACTGATACACTTGTACACCAGTTCAGAAAACTATGTGTTTGCCACCCAGTGGATTGGAGAGAAAGCACTCTGCTGTTGCCAGTCTTCCAGTCCTGGGAACTGTCTATTGATTTTTTAACCCTAGTATACATGGCAAGGATAACCTGATACCTGCACCCCTGTTAAGTGCTTTATTCACTCCGCAGTTGGCTAGATAGCTCAGTGGGCTGGAGCACCTGGCTGCAGAGCTAGGGGTTGGGAGGGAGTCTCCCCACTGTGCTTTACTGGGGAAGAGCCAGCCTTTCCAGATTGGGCAAGCTGTATGAATCCAGACCATGACACAAAGGAGGGGCTGATGAACTACTCCTGAGTATACCTAGAAAACCCTGGGAAAGGCTGCCATCAGCCCAAATCGGGAGCACGTTGTATCAACTATGTGACGAAACAAAACGATTAATTGCTATTAATGTCCATCTTGGGACTAAACCTAATTGGAGATTTTGTGGCCAGAAGATCAGATCTATATTTTGGACGTCTCTGCTTCTTCTCTCAGTTTGCAGTTTTTCTGTTCTGCCTAGCCTGATAAAACAGGCTGGTAAACACTTATGGCATTTCAAGTGGCCTAATAAAGTTATTGTATGACTATGAGTACCTTTTAAAACTTATTTGTTTTCTTTTAAATTTTATCTTAATCAGTTTGTGTCCGACTGAAGCTATGAGTACCTTTTAACTTATTTGTTTTACTTTAAATTTTATCTTAATCGGTTTGTGTCCCACTGAAGTCACGTGGGCCTCAGCCACAGCAATTGCAAGAGTGCTGAGATACGTCCCTCGCAAAATACATCAGTTTGAAACCTGTTCTGCTGCTTTTTGTGGAACTTACTTCACAGCAGCACACTTTGCATTGGGACGCATCTACACTAAGGAAGGTCCACCTAGGCCAGTAGTTCTCCAACTGGGGTCCCCAGATGTTCTTGGACTGCAATTCCCAGAAGCCTTCACCACTTGCTGTGCTGGCCAGGATTTCTGGGAGATGCAGCCCAAGAACATTTGGGGACCCAAATTTGAGTTACACTGACCTTGGGCTGTCAGCATTTCATATGGTCCAAAGGAACAATCTAACCCAAATCCTTTTTGCTCCAGGTTTTCCTGTTGTAGCTGTACAGCGGATTTTTCCATTTTGTGCTGGTCCTTGGATGTTCTGTGCATTGATAAATCAAAGCTGTTGTGGATTCCAATGGAGCCCACCTTAAGCTGAGTATTAATGATGTTTTCCTCCCTAAAGGTGACAATATTTCACACCTGGCAACACCTTCCTTTCCATTCTTTTCCATTTGGGTCATTACTTATTCCTTTATTTCAGTTTCCTGTTCTGTGGCCTTTTGCCTTCTACCCAAGCTGTTCCTACTGATCAACCTTTCCCCTCCCTTATTTATGGATGCCCAGACAAATTGATGCACAACAAGTTATAGGAAAAAAACCACCCCAAAGCATCCCACTATGGACACCAAAAATCTGGCGAAGGTGATGATATTAGCAAGGATGTCACACACCAAATTTAGTGCAACTTGGTGTAGCTACTTGGTGTGGGCTCAGCCACTTGTCACTTGTGCTATATCCTTGGGGAAATGTGTGGTTACCTTGCATTGTGTCAGATCTGGTTCTGGAATGTAGAAGTTGTGATTACATGTACAGTACTTACATTTCCTTTTGATACTGGCACCATTTTCTGATCCCCAAAAGGATTAAGAATGTGCAGAAGAAAAGCAGGGCAGCTACAAGTGCTGGCCAGGAGAAATAATTATGTCTTGGAAAAGTTGCCGTACCTGAGAAAACCACAGAAAACCACTTCTATCATAAATCAGGGAGCCAAACATTTATAGTTTCCACCCTTTTCTACTAGAATAGCAGATTCTGACAGTATTATTTGAATACAGGTGAGTCTCTGGTAGTCACATCCAAAAAGGATCCAACCTGGAGGTTGGAAAAGTTACTTTTTGGACTGTAACATCCAGAATTCTGCAATGCTAATTAAAATTCCCATTTCAAATACCTAGCTGAACATTAAGGGTAGGGCCCTGGGGATCCTCAAGTAGTATATTGTATCATTGGAAGTATTCAGAAAGAGGATCATTTAAAGATCCTCACTGAGATTTGACAGTATCAATGAAAGAATTGGAGGAAGCTGGTTACATGCACCATCTTATTTATCCCTCCCCACCACCGGAAAAAAAATTATGTTGTAAAAGTCAGCAGCACCAACCACATTTTCAGAAAATGCTACAAAAGATCTCAAAATAGATAGATGGATCTGAAAGAGGGGAAAATAAGTTACCATTATTATTAAACCTGGTGTTTACAGTGGGTGGATTGTCTGGGCTGACCAGCGTGGTTGGCTCCACAGCTTTTTTGGTGGACAGATTTCCTAGAAGAATGGGGGAAAGTGTACATACAATGTGTTATCGTGACTTCATTTTGAGTGGTGTCAAATTTTAACAATATTGGCTCCCTAATTTATGTATTTAACTAGTTCCATTTTAACAGGAAATATACACCTTGGTACCTACCCAAGGCAGCTAGTCACCACAATTAAAAAACATTAAAACATATTGTTGTTGTTGTTTAGTCATTAAGTCATGTCCAACTCTTCGTGACCCCATAGAAGAGAGCACACCAGGCTCTCCTGTCTTCCACTGCCTCCCGGAGTTGGGTCAAATTCATGTTGGTAGCTTCAGTGACAGTGTCCAAGCATCTCGTCCTCTGTCGACCCCTTCTCCTCTTGCCTTCACACTTTCCCATATTATACTGGATTAAATTCTAGGTGTATCAAAAATGCACTGGTAGTTTAAGGCGGCCCTTTCAGCATCACAACAATTGTAAAATTCTTGTTGGTAGCTTCAGTGACAGTGTACAAGCATCTCGTCCTCTGTCGACCCCTTCTCCTCTTGCCTTCACACTTTCCCATATTATACTGGATTAAATTCTAGGTGTATCAAAAATGCACTGGTAGTTTAAGGCGGCCCTTTCAGCATCACAACAATTGAAGTTTATGCACCAATCACCAATGCTGAAGAGACTGAAATTGACCAATTCTATGAAGGCTTACAACACCTTGTAGAACTGACACCAAAGAAAGATGTTATTTATTTATTTATTTATTTATTTATTTATTTATTTATTTATTTATTT